ACCATAAATTTGGGAATAACAACATAACGCTTCTAAAACCAAATCCTACTAGCAACTATTTGACAAAAAAAAACAGGAAAGTTAGATTTACCTGTCTCTTTTTGGTTTTTAAATATAATTTTAAAAAGGATCACATAAGTTAAAAGCCTTTTCAATTCGAGGAATACTTGAGCATCCTAATTAATTTTTATTTTTTACCACAACTCGTGTTATAAATGAGGTGTCTCCGTATTTAGGAATATGCGACCATCGTCCGGTTTAAACGGATTCGCGGCTTTTAATCGAAAATTCTATTCTACCTAATTAGCGAATAAAGAATTTAAATCAGTTATTGATTAACGAAAAGATATAAGAATCTTTATGATGAAATATTGATGACGGCTTTATTCGAATATGAGCTGGAATCCGTTATATAGATGCGGATTGGACAAAATATTTTGATACTTAAGATCATAAATTTTAGGGAAATGTTAACAGTTAGTATTTCATGCGTATTTTGAAGTAATAAAATAGTTCTTTATATAATTTTAGAGCGTGATATGATAGGACAGAATTTAAATTTAACGTATATTAAAACGAATAGTAAACGAAAAAATTAAATAAAAAAAATACTCACGTCTTGTGTTCGATAAATTATTACAATAAATTCAATTTGTTTCAACATGGAAAAGCGTAGTTTAGTATAAAGTTTTTTGTCTGATTGCTAATAAACAAGCTACTAGCGACGTCTGCCAGTCTAACAATTACGGTGGACGATGCAATTCAAGATATCTGCAGTAACATCGATGCTTGTATCGTTGAATAACGACCTACGATGTACGGGAAAGGGCCTGTAGGAGTCAACAGCCGGGTGACGATGCACCATTTGGGGCAAGCCTAGTTTTTGCGCCGTGTGCCGCCGCGTACGTGCTTCTGTATTGTATTACAAATTGTAATATTCACCAACTATGGCTCGCGTGATGGATTACTATCGTCTATATTCGACTACCTCACAAGTTTTAGGTATTGGTGCTGTTTACGTTGTGATTATTTCCAGTCGCCATTTTATTTAGTTTATTAAATTATTGTTTAAAGTAAAATAAAATAACGTTTTATCTTCCACCAGAAAAATATGCAAAAATTATTAAATGTGAAGTATTAACACAAAAAAAAATTGTGTTTTGTTTATTTTCAAACCTAAAAGTTCCAGGTTTGAATAAAAAAAATTTATGAAGATGTAAGTTTTCAATATTTAAATATTCATAGATTATGTTAATCATAAAAAAATGTAATTCAGATATAAAAATTTTGTATAATTTCAAATATTAAATTATCAAACATTGAATGCTACAAAATAGTTAAGGTATACTGTTTTATTTATTTGCCTTAAATAAGTACATCAACGCGACTAAGAATAATATAAGTGAGTTTACAATATGAACAATGAACGGCCAAAGGTCGGTATTACTTCTTATGTTTGAATAGTTCAATAACTGTACATGACGATTGTCCACTAGATCCGGCTCTCGTCATAACAATATGTTTGCTCATCGTCTACGCTCTGTATCTATTGAATCGGTAATCAACTGTATATTTTATTATAAACTAACCATATAAAAATCCTGGATTGGAGGCGCGTTAATCGGCCTCTCATCGTCAATTTCTAATGTAAGCGAAGAAAGTAGTTCCATGTTTTTTCGCAATGTGGCAAGGATGTTTTTATTTCTGGCCAGGTTATACCAGCCATTTTTTTAGGTTATTAATAATTTTGTAAATATCTTCATGTTATAAATTAAATGTTGATAATTATAAATGTATTAAAGAAAGATCCATTTCTCGCAGAAAATGTTTGTAAATAATTAAAGAATAAAAATTATATAAGAAACGATCACTAGTATATATTCGTAGCCATATTAGTCATTGATATATATTATTTCACACTACAATATAAGTAAACGTGTAAATAAGAGCTTTTTAACATATTGACTTATTATCTAAAAACCCATTTGTAAAAGAAAAAAAAAAGATTAATGATAAACGAAAAATATCTGCCATCAGTCGAACCGAAACTACCGCAAAATCGTTGAGGTTTTCACCTCTTATAATTAATGCTCAGAGACATGGAACGATCATTGTGTGGTGGCCATTAAAACGATTGGAATTGAAAAAAAATCACACATCTATTAAAGTGATTAGATTCCTAAAGGTAATTTATTGTCAAGCCGTGTAAGCCAGTCGCTGGACTCGGCACAATGCCCGCTAGAGTGAGCTCGATAGATGTCCAGAGTGAGATGGATATAGTGGGCCTTGCAAGGTGATTTCAGTTGCGTCTACGCAAGCTTATGGTTAGGTTGTTACGCACACTAGCGCGTTGATGCGCGCACGGATTCGAAATCGCGATGTCGGAAAAAGTCCGGCATTTACCGGTATCGATTTTCCGGACACAATTTTCCGGATAAACAATCGAATTCGGATGGGAGTGAATGACGCATGGGGGTTAGACTGTCTCTTATGAGTGAAAACTTTTCAGACTAGCTTAATGGAAAACTTTCGCTACAAATCGAGTGGTTACTTGTGAATGAATAGTAAGTTTGAAAGTGTATGTCGTTTCATTAGTATATCGGATAGTCCTTGTGTTGACATGTGGATTGAATGCATCTGTAACGAATGGACAAATAGCTTTATAAAGCCTGTGACTTGTGAGTTTTTATTTTGATTAACTGTGAAGTGCAGTTGCAGCTCAATCTCGTCTGGGCTTAAAGGTGAGTATTTTAACAATACGCACCCGACATTATCTAATGCGAATTTGTAGCAATCGAATATCGAATAAGATTTTTTGTATAACTCCATTCATGTTTATATACAGAAGTTATTGCACAATCTTATAGACTAAGGATATTTCAAATGTTTAATATCTTATTACAATTAGCTAAAGTTACTAAATAATCTATGGAAGGTGAATGACCTAAATGAATGCAAACACTTTTCCATTCAACCGTTCAAAGTACGTTTTAATTACGCGAATCAGCGAAAGCGCGAGACATAAAAATGAAAATAAAAAGTATGTAAAGAAAGTGAAATTCATAAGTTTTGTATAAATAAACCTTTAAAAGGATGGTATTGATAATTAATAAGGAAGGTATTAATAGAAATTACATTATTTTCGTTCGATTGTTTACAACATTCGAATTAATGCGTTACAATCTTTTACGCTTATTCAAACTGATTGAAAACATTTTAAAGATCAAAATTGTTACTGAGTTTTCATAGTTAACGGATAATGTGGAAAGATTTCATTCAAACTAGTTTTTCTTATTGGGATAAAACTTTTTGAAAAGGTAGCATAATATCGAAAAATCTAGTACATTTTATATATCAGTTGTCAACATTATTGAAATAGCTATGAGATAGTTTTTTTTTTTATTAAATATTGCAGTTACTTTTGCGAAACCTGCAAAGTTCGAAAAATAGAAATTTGATTGTTTTTCCTGATCAATTCAGAAATTACTAAAGAATCATTTTCGTTTGTTTATTTAAATTCTTTTTAAAACGCCTTTTGCTAATGTTACTCCGTTTTAACAAAAGTTGCCACAGAGATAGATTTCCTTATGAAAGCTCAGGCTTTTACTAAGTGTTTTAATAAAATTGATAAATAGTACTTTAAATTACATCATAATTTAACAATTCTAAGGAAGTATAATTATATTCAATAACGGCAGGCGTATAATTCTGTTGAAATCCACAGCCTTGTGGCGAAGATACATATCTTGTACGGGATATTGAAGGATTTCTATATTCAATACCTTAATGACGTCGTTTTAACTATTGACGCATTACATAATAAATACACTATAAATGGTAATTAGAATTAAAATTTAAATTGAATTTAACTACCTATTGTCATAATAAGTAGTTATACATTTTGCTAAAACTTATAGATTGCTTTAAAAATAACCTAACGGTAACAAGGTTGCTACATTAGCGATAGCAGAAGGTACCCAAAGGGCCCCCTCCCTGGGGGTACAAAAAAAACATTATAATAATGAGGTACTTATGTACTTTGTTATGTTCTAATAATATCGTTATTCTGGTTTAATTTTATTAATATAGTAAATTCGAAAGTTTGAATGGATGAATGTTTCTTAGCATTTTTAGTATAAATTTCTTAACGGATCTCGTTGACACTCGGTATAGATTTTAAGCATAGTCTGGAAGAACACAGGCTCTTTGCTATAAAGAATATTATGGAAAAACTTATCAAAACAAATTGATATATTGATATGTTGTACATGTTAATAACATTAATCAGAGTAAATAAATAATAACAAAAATGTATTTTGAAGACGATGTTGTAATAGGAAAATTGATATTATAATAATAAAATGTATTGAATAGCTATAATACCACAAAGTTAACATCTACAAAATAATGTTTTGATATCGGTGTAAGTTTGTACAACTTTAACCTGTGCGGTTCTGTGGTTATAATTTATTACAAACCACACCTTTAAGCTACCTATAAGCGAGAAATTTAATGTATTCGAATATTACGATTATTGTAGTTTAATTTATCATTATAGAAGTGTCTAGAAATTGTGAAGAATTAATTCAGCTTAAATATCAATAATATAAAAAAAAAAAACTATTTTTGTGTTTTTTTGGTGTATTTCGTAAAATTTACAAAATGAACCACACTATCCTTATTTTAAACTTATTCAAACTATAAAAATTGCATACTAAAACTTATATTTACTTAATAATGACTAAAACCAATGTAATTATATTTATTAAATGTCGATATTAATGCGTAAAAAATAAATGTATAACAATTAAATTACAACATTACCTCAAATCATTGTCAGACTAGTAAGTCTGAGTACTGAGTACTGCGCGTTGAGTACTGAGCGCGGAGTACTGCGCGTTGAAGTCTTTTACATCGGCCGACGGAATTCTACTTATTTCTCTTCAGTTTTACTTAACATTTTATACTTTAATTTCTATAAACATTATTTTACTTGTGATGACTTTAAGTGTTTTCTCTTTTAACATCCCTCCATGGAAATATTACCTGAATTATTAAAACTTATTTGATAATAAGAAAATGGTTTTAATTTTAAATCAATAATTATTTGAAGTTAATTTTAAATTTACGGAAATTACAATTCACACATACTACTGTCACAAACTTTTTGTTAAACTAAGGTTTAACAAATACTTATTTCTTTAGCTCATATATTAAATTACGAATAGATTGCTTTTAGAATGATACATTAAATCGTTCTTGTAATCAATACAAAATGAATTTCAATATACTTCTCGATTATCGCATGTAACAAAAAGTACACCTTCTGTGCGAAACGGAACGCGAGGGGGCGGCACGCAACGCACCATCGCTTTGTACCTTTTTTATTTAATTTATTCTTTCATTAGCAGGAATGCATCTCGCTTTTTGTAAAATATTAATACAGAACGAGATTTAAATTTACAATCAAAATTACAATTCAATGTTATTTATTGAATCATAATTTTATAAACACTTACAAATAACACTCCTATGTACGGTAAGAAGTTATCTGAAATTTGATATTTCTCCATTTATGGTGTGGCTATAAATTATTATTATGAAATTGTAGATACGATATAAGATTATGTACATTTATAAAAAGCTTTCCGTCGACGCCTACTTAGATCTGTTTCACAGTGTAACCTCATGATGTAGACATTTAATAATTTCTAATTAATAATACAAAAATGTAAACTGGGTATTTATAGTTTTTCATAAATATGCCTGTTGTTATTCCGTAATTTTATACCTTGAATTATTGACACACGATGTTTTCAGTTGAAATTCTTTTGAACTAAAACGTATCCACATAGAGTTGTATGTACACTTTTGATCTTTGATCAGTTATTTGATATAATTAAACAGTTATTTTTTTTAAGAAAATCAAAAGGAGCAATCTTTGTTACCTTCTGATTACAATATGGGTGACTAATATACATTAAAGTCGCTAGTGTATTTTATAAAGGGTATTTTTTATTACACTGTTTCTTACTTTGTTCCCAAAGAACTTGACTGTAATTATTAAAATATTATCTTCTTCACTTGTAATTCGTTGTAAATATTGTTTAACTAACAATTTCGCATTCTTACATACAAGTTCTTATTGCACACTAAAACAATTTCGTGTTTCTTTTATTTATCTTACGACTTCACTGACCTTTTGTTTTGGCTTCTTCATTTGTTTTGTGATTTTTTACTGGGTTTTATTCCATTGTTAAATGGCGTCTGAGCGCATTATATTAACATTGCTTGATATAAAATATTTATGTTCATTAAAATTATCTTCAAGAAACGTGACTTAATTGTATTGAAAAATTTAAATTTGAAGGCACTTTAAATGTGTAATTTGACTAGTCGCCAAATAACGGTAACATAAAAATTAAAAATTATTAAAGCAAAAAAGAATAATAGTCAATAGAATTTTGTAATCAAGTTGTATTAAAACAGCTTCTTCCTTGATCAATAAAAACATTTAATTTTAGAAACATTGATAGCTATAAATGAGCACTTAGCTGAGTAAAGGCCTTATCCATTCAGCGTAGCAAACACAATAAAAAAAATATTCATAATTTTATATTTACTAACGTGTGTATGTATATAATTTTTTTTTTCTTTTTTTGTGTATCTTTGTAACAATCTTACGTTAATCAGATCTGTTTTCAACTGTGTAATTAATTATATAGTGTTTGCTTTATGAATGGATTAAATGATTATTATTATTATTATTATTATTAATATTAAATACATTTTTAAAATTTAAATTAAAACAAAAGTCTTGTGTTACTATTTTTTATAATGAATGAACCAGCGCTTGACCGTCATCCCATAATGTTAAGTAGAACTATAAATATTCACAATAAATATATATATAATATAATAAAATAGTAATAATCTACTAATACTATAATTTGATATTCAATACGTTTGCTTGTCGAGGCAATAAAATCACATTTGAGTACACCACAATAATATTTATGTCCCCTTTCCCTAATCACGAGGCAATTTCATAATATTATACGTTTAATAAGCATTAGTTATATTTAAATATTTCTATAAAAGCTATTATTAATGTACCTGTTATATTGTCATGAGTTCCGACCTTTCACCTGCAAGCATACTGCTTCGACGTTTCCATAATGCCAGGTGCACAGAGATAAGAAAGCGAAGCGAAAACGGAACCCACAGTTCACCCACATTGATTGGTTTACTCAAGTTAACCTCAGATTCAAGGCACACAGAGCAAAGGACTATTCTCTGGCTGACGGTTTCGATGATCTTTTCTTAAAACAAACCGCTGCCTTTTGTGTTCTGCCGTATCGTGTTTGTTTCATAATTTTTCGCTTTTAGATGGTTTCGCTTTCGTTGTGCGCTAGAGGCTTAAACGTTTGACCGCAACATCGTAATGACAGGGCGTGCGACCGCGGCTGCAGTTTTAAAATATTTTAAAGAAGCGATCATGTCAGTGTTATTAATTGGATGCTGTTTAAAGTTTTATTAATAAATCATAGGATAAATTAAAATTACATTTCTTTAAGCAAATTTAGTTAATATGTATGTGACAATAAAATTATATTATTGTGTATGGGAATGAATATAATAAATCCTACCGTTAAATGTAATAAGTTATGTTCCATTTAAAAATCGAGATTTATTGAAAAGAATACAGTCCTTGATACAACAAAGTTTGTAATCTTAATTA